GAGACAGCCCCGATCCCCTGAAAACGCACCTGGTCCCAGTCTGACAGCAACCCGTCAACGAGCGGGCTCCTCATCTCCATGCCATCCCTTCTCCTCGACACCGCGAGGTCTCCCAGCAACCAGCGGCCACTCTCCTCCCTGCCCCCACCTTCGTTGTTCTTGGCCTTAGCCCTTCCTCCCGCGCCCCCCGCTGCCCCCCCCCTCCCTCCGTCGACGTCCATCGCCGCGCTCCCCCCTCGCGCCGTCGTTGTTGTCTTCGTCTCGTTCATGCCCTCCTGTTCGGTAGAAACGGAAAATGGAATCGTCCAAAATACGAAACAATCCAGTTTGACAGGAAACGAAGCGAACGTAGTCGCGCGCGAGAGAGCGAAAGGCGTGTGATACACAATGGGAGAGGGACGGAGTACGAGGGTCGAAAATTCCAAGGGTTGAGCCCGCAGGGGGCATGCATGCACCTTCCAACAAGCACAAAGGAAGACAAGAGACCCTCTTGAACGGCAAGCACACAAGCGAGTCACTACAGAAGCCGCTGGCTAGTGAAACGGTTTGAGGTCGGCCTTTATAGAAGTTAGCACTCATGTTGTGAGGGGTTGCGATGCGCGAATGAAGGATGCGGGTTTGCTGCTTTCCGCCGCCTCCCACGGTGACTCGCGGTGAACATCCGACCGCGGTTCGGCTGTTCGATAGCGTCACAACAGCATAAAAAAAAAAAGACACCACATTTCGGGTTTTTTCACCGCACCCTAACATGTGCAGCTGCCCCAACATTCATATGCGCCACGTGGCCCCTCGACCCGCCGGTAAGTCTGCTGATACTTGATATTCTCCCGCGTTGACGGTGTTTGCCATCGGGGTTGGATTTTCGTCGCTTAGCAAGGGCGTTGTAAAACAAGCCCCCCCCTCGGTGTTCAGGACCGGGGACATAGGCCTTCGAGAACGTCGACGAAGACGTAAGACGGTAGACGACGAAAACGACGAGTTCAAATGTGACTGCGGCTTCGAATGCGAAGCCCGTGTTCATGTAGTCGCGGAATGTCCGTGGTACAATAAGGAGAGGGAAGTGTACGTGACTGAGCTGGGAAAAATAGATGGGACGTACAGGGAGATGCTTGATGCATGGAATAGAGAGGAAAGGACGGTAGCTGTAGTGGGGCATAGGAGGTGGGTTGAAAAGGCGGGAAGGGATATCGTTAGGATNGGGGGGAGATCCCTCACTCCGCGCAAGGAGGATGATCGCACCATGTTGTGTTAACATGGTCAAGCACCCTCGAGGCAGCTACACAGTGCTTACAACTGTCTCTGNCTTTTTTTTAACCTCTGTTTTTTTTTTTTGGCCGTAACCATAATGGTGGTCGAGTAGATCATGTTGTGCNAATGCAAGGGAGTAAGCACAAGATGCCGAAAACCCTCAGCAGGATACAGCGCACCCTTCATGCGACTCGCCGAATATCT